AACCTTTTAAAAGGATATTCATCCAACTGCACCCTAATAAACAGTCACCATATGCTCACGATAGAAGAAATAATGACCGGATTATTATTTATCAATAGTTACAATGGACCCTTAAATAATAGACAACAAAGAAATCAATCTGAATTGTACATTTTTGATCAGATACGATAATTCAAGCTTATCAATTGAAGGCAAACATTTTGTTAATAAAAATCAACTGTTTGCAAAGCCCTTACCAGCAATCGTCAAATCGACAAATGCTAAAGCAAATCTCGAGGAAGTTCTTTCTTTGCAATATTTGGAAGAGCTCAATATAGCGAACATCGCAAAAAATAGATGATGTCAACTAGAAATACAAAATAAGCATTTTCACATGCTCTTCGATAATCACGCTATCACTGATTATCCTATTGGCCACCATGATTGCCAAAAAATTAAACTCTAAAAAGAAAATGAGAATAAACATTGAAGTCAATACTAGCAGTTCAAAGGAAACCCCCACTGTACCTACAAATGAAATGCCATCCAACGAGGACGCTGCATACTTTAAAGGGGGAGGAGTTAATGCCACATACTCTGAAATTGGGCTCCAAAACTGCCCACATATAAATATGTAACTATCCATACGAAAGCGGTATGCAATGCTGCGTAAGCATGCGACCTACAAGTAAGTCGCTATCCCACGGGCATATGACACCACACGCGCAACCATTCAATAGCTGACCGTGCATTACCATTCATGGGAATGGACGAAAGTAAATAACGCAACAACAACAACAAGAGGAATCACCTGTCAACCAACGTGACTTCGTACGATATGTAGAAGTAAGAAATATATTGTAAAGTTAGTAATTAAGTTGCTTTAATTGAATAAAGAACAACGACTTCGAGTCGCTAAAAAATTTAATTTTTTTAGTTTCTCACAAGAGAAACTAATAACTTATACAAGCGAGAGCGCAGCGATGAGAACACGACATCATGCAAAATGAATTAGGCACACTAACACATTCTCACTTTTAGCTCACGCTTGTTTGTGGTAGTGGCACTACCGTAGTGCCTACATCTGATTATACCCTGTAGGGAAACCGCGGACTAGAGAATTAAATTTCTAGTTCCGTACTAGGTCTTCATCGCCAAAAACGAACTAGTCCGATAGGAACTAGATCCCCACCAGTCCAAAATCGGCGAAAAGTGGTACTTTCAAGAGACTAATTTTTTCAGTTTTTTTCACTAGAAATCCATATCTAAAGTGACGAATTTAGAAATGGTTCAGAACTATAGAAAAAGGGATGCAGAACGAACTAGATCCTATTTGTCGAATTTAGAACTATTTCGGAACTATCGAATAAGGGATGCAGCGGTGGGCTTGTTTACTCTACATAGATATGTGCTCGGCGGCTTTTTCGTTCAAATACGTTTCTCTTCTGTGCTTCGCGGATGCTATTTCATAGTTTGGTAATACAAAACAAAGCTTTGTGTTTACATATTAACATCCTGGGGCCTACTGGAATCTAACCAATAACAGCGAGCACCTCTGCAAAGTCAGCTACAGCCAAAGGTATGTAAACGTACATTTCTTACAATCATTCAAACAAATTTAATTTCAAATTTGAAAAAATGTTTCTTTGAAAATAATGTAAAATCACACACGGAAGAACCGAAAAGATTGAAAAATCATGATACTTTTTTCTTTCGTCTGTCGATTTTAGAACTGGTTCGGAACTATAGAATTTAGGACTAGTTCGGAACTATCGAAAAAGGGATGCAGCGGGGGGCAATTGACACTTCCTAGGACATCGCCATGTTAAATTCGCCAGTTGCTTGCATGCAAAAGAGATTTATCGCGAACCAGTACTGGGTCTAAATGTACTAGAAGCGC